CTGCTGCTCCTGCTCCTGCTGCTGTTGCTGCTGCTGCTACCAACGTGGTGTTGCTGCTGCTACTGCTGCTACTAGTTCTACTATGACTGCTATGACGGTGGAAACTCAACGTTCGAGTACTTAAGGGGACTATCTTGCTCCAGTGCGGCAGCCCATTTACAAACAGAGTCGAACTTTTTGTGGAAACAGACCTCCTCTGGGTTTGAGGTGGCATCATCCCTCAGCCACGCTTACCCTGTAACTTTACTGGTTCCCGAATATACAGTAATAGTGAGTGGTTGCAAAAGCCCTGAGTCCAAACACGAGCGCCTGCGGTAGCTAAAAGGACTCGCGTGTCTGCAAGAAACCCAAACCCTACATCAGAGGAGAGCCGGGCTGACAAAATCCCGGATATGATGGATGGCAATCCACGGCCGCAAAAAGGAGTGATTGCTTCTCAGAAGTCTCTTGTTGCGGACTGGATGTCTGCGAGCGACGAAAGCAGGGGTTCTAAGGAAGGCACCAGTACACCTTGTCCATCTGGAGCTCCACAGGGGTCGGGTTGTGGCTCGTCACCTGTGTACATGGTGCTTCTGTTGTCTTGAGATGGCATGCAGTGAAGCTCCGTTGCCGTTTTATCCATCGCTTCAGGCCTCTCTGGCTATCCTTGCTCCTTCCTTGAAAGCTTCTTCCTGGCAAGCAGTCGTAAGTAGAGATCTGAAACTGCAGCCCCGGCTTCTCTGAGACCTTGGATCGCCCAGGTAGCCGGACGAACATCGAGTCGGTGTCACCGTAAAGAACCTGGCAGCTGCACTTCCTGTCACTCTCTGCCAGCTCTGGCTTCTACACGACCTTCTGCCCCAATACTGTACTGTTGCAACAGATGAGCTGTAGCTATCATGATGTCACGCGCCGGGAACGAAACCACAGAACTCCTGCAAGAAACTGCTGCGCTGTTGTGTATGGCACCATATGCACTCTAGTTCGTCACAAGCAAGACAACGTTGTGGCTTTCTAAGCTTGTTTACCATTCAACAACTTCGTTCTTTTCTTCCCTTGAATGTGGCAGTCTAAAATCGCAGGTCGATGCGAGGGGAACTTGTCTGCAAATGCCGAGGGTCTCTGAGGGTGTCCTTCAGAGGCAATGAACTCTCCAACTGCATTCAGCTTCATTGGGTGGGAGTCATCAGCAATCTGCACGGAAGTGTCATTCTCCGTGACTCTCAGCTTTCTCTAGCATCTATGGTGGGCCGACCTTTCACTCCGCCGAGTGTTCAGGATGGTCATGGTGGCAATATCCTTTCTTCACGGGTGTGAGTCTGTTCGGCATGACCACCCACTGGCCCCCGTCTTTGCTTTGCGCAAGACTCGGAGAGTCCAAAGGCTGTTTGACTGCTTGGTTTCGCTTGCTTCTTGGCTGCCTTGACAACATCCGGGCACGCGCGGCTGCCACTGGCAGAGCCCAAACTCGGAGAGTCTTCGGATGATTTAGGGAAAGCTTTTTGCTTTTTGAAGCAAGCGGACAGAAATTGCGGCGGCTGGCCTCGGCTCCGGAGACCTCCGCCTCCACCCAGCGCACGGCTCTTTCCAAGGTGCGCCTGCCCAGGGCCGGGGCCGCAAGGAACAGACGGGCTGCCTTCACAATGACTCTGCAGGGCTCGCAGTCGCCATCTTCGCGTAAATCTTGGCTTTTGTAAAGCTGAGCTGATGTCTGTTCGCAACGTTCGCAGGCGTATCCCAACTGCGAGGCAGCAAGCACTGTGCCGCACCCCACGACACCCGATGCCGCAATTGCTCGAGGTGTCCGGCCACGGTTCTGGCGTAAGCTGAACCAGATTATATTGACGCTTTGTTACCAGGATGCTATGCCGGGCCCCTTCGTTGGCCATTCCCTGGCAACAGGTGGAATGGCACATAAGCTGCAAAACACAAAACGTGTTCACAAGGATACAGGTATGTGCGCATGTATAGCTACACAGATCACCATCACCATGATCGTCATCATCATCATCCTCCTCCTCGTCAACGTCATCATCGTCATAATCGTCATAGCCGCATAGAGTATATACGACTTATTTATTCGAGATACAGATAAGCGAAAGCGATAATTCTGCTGTGAACACGCATGTGCCTCCGCACCGGCCTCCACCGACACCGACACACAGAGAAAAAATTCAATTACCGACGCACTGGACCGACTCCTTCATGATGTCAAGGCTGATGTTTGATTCTTGAATTTCTTGAAAGGGCGGCTACAGGGCTCGATGGTTTCAACTCTCAGCACACTTTACCAAGCTTCCCCCACTCCAGTACTGTCCGGTGTGCATTTTGGCCTGGCAGTTTGAACTATGGCATCAGCAAGCTCCACAAAAGGCATCCTCAGTTGTTCAGGGACTTTTTAGACCATGACTGTGCCGGCCGGCATCATGCACAAGCATGTAAACCACCTGCCTACCACTGAAGGATGCGCCGGTATAGCCATACGTGACCTAGGCAGCCAGGATGTGGACACAGCCGAGGGCACGATGTGGTCAGCAATTTCTAGCTTCTCACGTTCGCGATCATCTTGAGGCCAAACTGCCTCGCGTCCAGCAGTCGTGCTCTTGCCTGAACGGCTTTTCCTAAGGCCCTCAGCACGCCCAACGTGTGCTAAAAGAAGGCATGGAATCCGCACAGCATTCAGCTAGTTCTTTGTGGAAAGACTCTACTCGGTGCCTCTGTAGCCACTCCAGCTTCCTTCTGCTCCTTCTGCAAAACCTTCAAAGCCTTCTTGACCATGATTCGCGTCCTCACATGTCGGAAAGCAAAAACTACTAAATCTCACTAAGGAGTCGAATCTTAACGTAGATAGCTCGACTTAGATCAATGAACTAGACTTGAGAGTGCATGGACTGAGATCATACTGATGCAATCACGCGTGGCTCGTGTGAGCCAAGAGTTGAAGAAAGTCGTGCAACAAGGACAACATGCGGTAAGTCTCCGGCTGCAGAATCTCATGCAGCATTCGAGGCAGTATTCCAGGCTTCTTTTCTCTCTTGATGAAGACAGCCTACCCATCTTTACGAAAGCTCTGAAAACCGGGTAGAACTTTCGGATGTGAGCCTCGTTTGGCGTCACAAAGACGTCCTGGAGCCTCGACACAGGTGCATCTTCTGCTGAAGGTCACCCGTGATATGAGCGCCTCAGGGCTGCGTGCTCGTATGCCTGCAACAAAAGCACACACGATTCTTAGTGGGCTTCTCTGGAGGTTACATGCGGGGCCAACTGCTATCCAGCAATCGCTAGGAGGCCAAAGAAACTAGAATCATGTTTTGGGCATGGCAAGCTTCGTCTCGTCCAGAGAGAGTCAGGATCAAAAGAAAGGAAAGCTGGGAGGGAAGGGGCTGGAATCAATTAGACTCGGGACTGGGTATGAGTATGAGTTTGCAAATTGGGTCAGGCCAGGAACATTTGAGCTGGGTACTAGCTGGGTTTGCACGTAGCAGGAGTGCCGACGAAGTGGGCCTCTCTCCCTAAGGCAGCCTAAGCCCAGAATTAACCCCAGACCTCCTAGGATCCTAGACACAAAACCTTGCCAACACTGACGTCAAGTCACTTGCATCGTGAAGTCGTGAAGCCTCCAGCACCCCCAATTTGGCTTGGGCAGCGATATCCTGCAGGCGACCCGCCTGAGACATTGCATTTCCAACAGCGGGGCATGAGCGGTCACCAGACTAGTTCCTGTATTTTTCTGTTTGTTTTTGGTTTTTATTTTCGTTTTGCTCGTGATTGCTCCTTGCCCTACTGAAAGTATGGTATTTTGACAGATTGGCCCCTGTGGTGTGCCATAGCACTCTTTAAGGATCATGGTTCAACCCGCAGGAATTTCGTTTGGGTTGGGGCAATTTCGGGCTTTGATGACGATCCGGCAACTTAGGGATGCAATGAGATCTGGGTACATCATATATCTTAAACCCGCCCAGTTCCTTTGAGGTTTCCGGCTCATCGTATATCCCAAACACGCCCCTTCATTGGGCGATTCCGGTTCATCATATATCTTAGACACGCCCTGCCCAATGGGGCGATTTCGATTCATCATAAAATCTTAGGCACGACCCCTCATGAGGCCATCATACATCTTAAACCCGCCCCCTTATTTGGCGATTCTGGTTCATCATATCTCTTAAGCACCCTGCCTCATTTGGCGATTCCGGTGCAACATGTATCTTAAATACGCCGCTCCCCTTTCGGCGATCCCGGTTCCTCATACATCTTAAGCACCCTGCCTCATTTGGCGATTCTGGGTCATCAGTTATCTTAAGCAGGCCCCCCCCTTGGGTGATTCCGGTTCATCATATAGCTTAAACACACGCCCTCATTGGGCGATTCCGGTTAATCACACATCATCTTAAGAACACTCCTCATTTGACGGTTCCGGTTCATCATATATCTCAAATCACGCCCCTTCATTTGGCGATTCCGATTCATCTTATGTCGTACACACGCCCCTCATCATATCATGCAAATTTAACACGTCCCCTCATTGGTCCATTCCGGTTCATCATCACATATCTAAACGCGCCCCCCTCATTTGGCGAGTCCAGTTCATCATGATATCACATCACATATCATATATCTTAAACCCCCCCGCCCGTTAGGGGAGTCCGATTCTGCACCTTTGTGAAACTCGCCCCCAACTTTCCACGGCCCGCGACCCGCGCGACCGCGCCCCGCTGCCCGCGGCACGGCTAAAGAGAGCCGGGGGTTGGGGCGAGGCGCGGCGTAGGCCCTCCCTTTGCAACAACAGTTTCTGCATCAGGAGTAATGCAACGATCTATACGCGTTCTGCTTTTGCCTGGCGGGATGTTCGAGCTCGCACGGCTTTGACTTGTGCTTGTGTGCTTGCTTACTGGCTGGCTGGCTGGCTTGCCTGCTTCCTTGCTTGCTTGCTTGCTTGCTTGCTTGCTTGCTTGCTTGCTTGGAAGCAGAGCGGCCGGAATAAAATGCAAAGCAAAACTGAACAAATAAACATACCACCACTGGCATGAGCAAAGTCATCGGCCCAGCAGGCGTCTGCAGGCTTCGTTTTCGTAGGACCGGTGGGGGCAGGGTATTCACAAGCTCTGCTTTTGGCTTTTGTGCTACCCCGGCTTGGAGGCTTGATGCTTCCAGACGCACTGCAGCATTGCCACCCTTTGACTGCATGTTACTGCCTGACGTGTCTGACGGCAGGGCGCTCAAGGATTCACCAACTGCGAAAAACATGGTTGATGTGGTCGCAGTGGCAGATGGTCGGTTCGGATTTGCACCCGCTCAACACTTCCTAGCCGCAGCACCCCAGCTGGCTTGTGGCTCCTCCCCGTACTAGCAGCATGTTTTAAACTGGCAGTTCCGTGCGTCAATCAGTCTGCGCGTGCTTCTCTGGTTCCACGAACGCACGCGACAAGCACTTATTTAAACACTGTGCAACAAAAGTGCGAACAGTAACTCCGACTCCGCCAAGCATGCTGGATTGCGCACTGCTCTTACTCAGAAGAACCTGAATTCCAGCTGCAAGCTCAGGGTGCTGCGCAGGTGGAGAAGCAAAGGTTGTAGGCGATTATAATTGAAGGGTACAGCCTTGATCAAGGTGTGCAATGCAGCTTGCACTGCTCCACTCGGTTCGTAAGACTTAGATGCAGGCGACTGGAAATCCAGAACGACGACTGGGTCGAAATAAAACCCACTTCGTGGCCTCGGTTGATCATGAGCTTCTTGCAGAACCTTCTGAACGTTTGCATGCTGCACTGCAGCTTTCAGTGCACGGATCCTCTCTGACTGTTCGCCATGTTTAAAGCTTTGGACAACCTCCTGGGACTGAGGCTTGCACTCCATCACCAAAGGTATGCATTCTGCACCGCGTTGGCCAGCGACCTAAGTCTTTAAGTGCTGCAAAATTTCACACGGCTTCGGGCTACAGCGCGTCGCTTCGCCGCTTCGCGTTCCACTGCGCACCTGAGACCTGGAAGGCGACAGAAGAAGCATTCGCTCTTGGTGGGCTGCCCGAGTCAACCTGGCACCGTGGTAGCTTTTACAATTATGGTCATGGTGCCTGATGCATGGAAAGCTCATAAAGTAAGACCTGCCGGTGCTGCAGCCCTTCGACGCGAAACTGGGATCCTCTGCACAAAACGCTCAACCTGAAGAGAGGTAGGCAGTATTACCGCAGAGCGGAAAGCTCAACATGGAAATTTCACTCAGGGATACAACCAAGTCTCGAAAGAGGCAAGGCGTGGGAAAATCGCGCGACAATCTCTGAGGTTTTTGGGGCTGGCGGCTGTTATCGGAGCGGAAATGCACAGAACAAGCACACGTTCAGAGAAAGCGGGCCTCCAGACAAAGCAGCACACAAAGTACGACACTAAACATTGAACCCGCGAAGAGATGGATTCCAACACCCGCACCTGGAAGGACCGGACTGAGTCAAACCTTCGCAGTCAACACCTTTGAACAGCCTGGTGCCTGGCAAGCCCCATAGACTTATATACTCTTCGCAATCCCTGATGACGATGCGTGTCAACGCCATGAACTCTAGAAGGAATTTTTGAGAGATACAGCCAAAACAACGCCCCGGAGGGAGTCATCGTGATTGATGGCTGATCCCAGTTTAGGCATGTGCCCTAACCGGGACGAGTGATGGCTGGAAAATGCACAGCAACAACAAACATGACCGCGACAAGAGCTGCAGCAGAAGTCGCTCCCATCCAGTGCTTGAGCACGTGACTCACTGGAATGCCAGGCTGCGAGGCAATCCCACATGCTTTACCAGCAGCTCCATTGTCGAATGTCAGTGTCGAAGGCAAAGTATGGTTCTGCAATCATGTCGGGTTCCAGTTGCAACACGGGATCATGGCTGCGGGGCTTGCTGCCGGATCAGACGGACAGGGATAGCTTAAGTGTTGCCAGCTTCAGAAACTCAGTGGCGGAAAGCCCACGAGGCTGAATCGCAACTCATGGTTTAAATAAGCGAGTTGGACTCTGAGCTCGTTGCACGTCTATGCCCAGCATCCTCGCAGTCTCCACTGCGCGCGGAAGCACCTCACCACAGAGAGCCATCTGTGCAGAATACTCTGAATGCCTCTCGTCCCAGAGTGGCACATTTAGCGCATCGAGCAGTCGCAAGCTGCATCTTGCCTTGCCTTCGAAGAGCACTGTGCCAGGCGAACAGGCTGCAAGATTGAAACATAATGCTTCGAGAAAAGAAAACAATTCCTTGGGCGTGGACAGAGCAAGACTTCAGCTGCTTCCCGCCTGCCTGCATCGTATCTTGCGGATGGCCAGCTTAGTAGATGAGTCGGTTTTTCCACTGCGCAGCACTTGTTCTGCAGGAAGCAATAAACCGATGTCCCGCGAATCTGGTAGAGCGGTGGCATATCTTGCCCAGTGGCAAAGCCGTGTGCAAATCTTGATGGTGGCAGCCAGCGTGCGCTGCCACATCTATACTGTAGCATGGACTATTGTCCAAAG